CCCTGCTGCGGGGTAAAGGCCCCCCCCCCAGCCTGCCACCTCCTGGGTCCCAGCAGCCCAGGGCACTGCGCAGGTCTCGCCCCTGCAGCGGGTCCAGCCTGGAGGGGACTGAGGAGGGCCCAAGGTGGGGGCATCCCAGGGCCCCCCCATCCCTCGGGGCGGGAGCACCCATCCTGCACTGACCACCTCATCACCTGCACTTCCAGGCACAGCCTAGCCCTGGCCGGGAAGGGCTGCACCAGGAGCTGCTGTTTCGGGGCCACTCCCCACCCCGCTGCCACCACACCCCTGTGGGTGAGCAAAGAGGTGCTGCCGCCAGCAGCACCCACTGCCCCCCACGCCCGTCCCTGCGCTGGACCCTCTGCACCGCCAGCAAGATGGCACTGGCATTGCTCTGATGGTCCTGGCCGGGATCCCCAGCACGCCCAGCCCCTCCCAGCCGCGCCATCGAGGGCTGCACGCTGCCCGCACCACCCCACACTAGGGCAAGGCTCCTGGCAGCCCAGGCACAGAGGCAAACCCCTGCATTCCTATCGGCCCCGGCCGCTTCACAGCACTGAAATAGAATAAACTGGCACATGGCCACCTTCTGCTCTGGGTCGCCGTCCCTGTGCTCTGCTGCGGGTTCCCAGGAGGTGCAGGCAGCCCTGGGCTGCGCACAGGCAGGGAGGTGCAAGCAGGTGCCCGGCACCCGTTCCTGCAGGCAGCCGCTGCCCTGGGGCAGGGAGAGGTTCCCGTTTCCATGCGGGCCCCCTCCAGCCATCATCGCCCCGTGGTGACCATCCCACTGGGTCCGGAGGCCACACCGATGTCCCCTCGGCAGTCATGGACTGGAGTGCAGAAACCAGTTCCCTCAGATTCCTTGCGCCAAGGAAGGGCTCATTTGCATTGCAAAGTGTAAAAACCGGGTTGGAAAAGCAGTCACGGGTCGGGGTAGATGAAGCACCCAGACAGGGAAGGGGGCAGGGAGCAGCACCCACATGCCAGGGGCCACAGCAGGACCCGCTCACTCCCCAGTCCCAGCCCAGCCCCATCACCATGCTGGGACACTGAGCTGGCCCAGGACACCTCTCCCACCTAGTGGTGCCGGATCCTGAGCGGTCCCATGCGTGGAGGCTATGCCCAGCTGAGCCAAGCCACAGCTGCGGGGCAGCACCACGGCGGCAGAGCTGGCAGAGCCCCTCTGGCTGCTCCCGCTGCCATGCCGGGGCCAAGCCGTGGGGTCTGTCCACGGCCCCCACCCCAGGGATGCAAGGGGCAAGCAGGGCTAGAGGCAAACCCAGGCAGGGGGTCACAGGCGGCTGCAGCAGGGATGGGGTTGTGTGCCACGGGGGACAGCAGCCGCCTGACCCCAGCTGCCCTCCCCAGCCCCGTGGGTCACCCTGACCCGAAAGCACAGCTCGGCTGGAGATAAGCGGCATGGCTGGCGGGGCGCCGATGGGTTCTGGGAACTGCCCCTCCTCCTGCTCCTGCCTGCGGCACGGTCAGCCTGCCACAGCCAGCAGCCCGGCTTCAGCTGCCCCATCACCCCGGGCACCCGCGCCAGAAACTTTAAACCCCCGGACACGCACGACATACCCGGCAGCACCATGAGGCTGGGGGTTTTCCTCCTCCTGGGGCTCCTCATCCTCAGGGCAAAGCCGGGCACTGCACCACAGGAGAAAGGCGGTGAGTACCGGCAGAAAAACCCGGCAGCTGCCAGGCACAGGCATCCTAGGGCCAGCTCCTTGCACCTTGTCCCCCCCGTGCCCCTGCCATGTCCCCTCTGTCCCTGCCTGGCACATGCTGGCACTGCCCAGCACATGCTGGTGGGGACCGTGTCCCAGCTGGCTGCAGCGCCTGCACCGCAGCCCTGCTGCCTCAGGGAGCCCGCTCCCACCCCGGGCTGCACAGGCATGTGTCCATACCCTGCACCCCCACGTGCACCCCCTGCACCCTGCGTGCACAGCAGCTGTCAGCACCCAGGGGTGCCGCATGCAGCAGGGGCTCTCCCGGCCTCCCTGGGCACCCCTACACCAGCAGTGGCAGACCTGGATTTGGGACGTCTGTGCCTGCAGAGCCCAGCGCCTGTCCTGGCGCCGAGGAGGGGTCTCTGGGCAGAGCAGGGGCTGCACGGTGAAGGCAGAAGTGAGGAGGGTGCTGATGGGGGCAGGTGGGGGCTGGGCAGGGGGCCAGGGCTGCACAGACCCCCACACCTGTGGCCCTGCAAGTGTTCGGGCTCTGCTCCTCACACCTCCCGTCTCTTCCCCACCCCTGCATGTGGCCCCCGACCACGGGGACAGGCCCAAACCCCGGCAGAGGGGCCTGGGCCGTGGGTGCCACTTCCTGGGCACAGATCCCTGCTGCCGGGGCCCCCCCGCCGTGGGGGCAATGACGGGGGCGG